TAGACTGCCAAGAAAAAAAAATTTTTTTGAATCAGCCACTTAGCTCAAAAGCTTCCATTTTATTCCAAAAAAACACCCCTAAATTTTTATCAAAATATTAAGATTTAGAGGTCGCTAGAGAATGACTTTTAAATCAAAGTTTTGATTTTTCTTAATATATGTTTGATTTGATGCAGAAATGGCTTAAATCGGATTTTAAAAGTGGTACTGTATATTTTTTTGTCGCTAAACACGATGCAATAATTTATTTAACTCTGCGATATACGCCTTAAGAAATACAGTCCGATTAATATAAAAAATGACGAAATTTCGAGTTAAATGTCGATTCTAGCAAGGTTCCAAGCGTTCAAATGGGTTGTTACTCCTCTCAAATTGTAGATCTGATCACCCAGAACAAGATCTAAATGAAATTTTTCCGGAATGTCTTAAGCCGCGTATTCACCTAGCGAACACCGAACGAACAGCGAACGCGAACGTTCGTTGGCTGCGTTCAGCAGATGTATACGTCAAAGCGAATGAGAATCGAACATTCGATTCGCGTTCGACTCGGTTTCCTCATGAAGCGGTACATCAAAGACAATTCGTGCGCGGTTCGTGCGCGGTTCGTGCGCGGTTCGTGCGCGGTTCGTGCGCGGTGTAGACGTGCAAATCACGTGTTCGTTATTTGGCTGTTCGCCTGAATCACCATAACCTTTTCTGTGCTTTTCTGTACTAATATTCTGTATCATAAAGTTGAAAACTTTAAATAAAGATTATCGTATTGGCCTTTTCGAAAAAGATTGCGTAAATACTATGGAGTGGACTGAAGAAGAGATTATAAAACTAATAATTTCTTATAAAGAACGTGAACTTGTGGAATCCTAAACATATATTGTATCACAATAAATTAAAAAAATGTACTTGGGAAATTTATCTCTGTGTATACATATATTTACAGCACAAATTTAAATGTAATTATGTGATTTACAAAATATCAGTTATAAAATAAAGACATTAATTGTCACAAAACTCACAAGCAATAAGGTTATAGAGAACAATGACCCAAACACCGATTCAAGATCGAATGGGTGTTCGGCCCGTGTTCGATGCAATCGGGAAAAATGTACGAACGAACAACGAACATGAACGCGAATGTCCGAATATTCGCGTTCGCTGTTCGTTCGGTGTTCGTTTGCTAGATGAATATGCGGCTTTACAGGGCCTTTATTAAAAGTTGCATTTAACTGGATTATAAAACGTTTTTAAGGACAGAAAAACTTTTTTTACAAGTTCTAAAGTATATCGCTTTAAGGTTTTGACATCCTCAAATCAATTGCCTCAATTTGGCAATACAAAATTCTTTATTAGAAAATGAAACGAGTACTACAAAAAAATACAATTTAATTAATTGAAATAAGCTAAATATTATATAATTTATTTTAATTAATTAAATCATATTTTTTTGTATTCTGTTCTTATTTCCAGTTGGAATTTTTCTGGGACCTCCTACAGGACCTGTAAAAGTTGCATTTAACTAGATTATAAAACGTTTTTAAGGACAGAAACAATTTTTTTACAATTTCTAAAGTATATCGCTTTGTGGCTTTGACAGCCTCAAATCAAATGCCTTAATTTGACAATAAAAAACCGATTGTTAAAGTTGACAGATACTCAGGTTAGGAGATCTGTTTCTTCGATAACATAAGAGGTTACACGAACTCTGTTCTGTAAATACAAATTTTCTAATTTAAAAACAAATTATGTGCTTAAAAAATATAAATTCTCTGCTTTTGGGTTGTCGCACATAAAATTCCGTAACAGTATGCGTAAGGTGTAAACTGAAGCCGATGAGCCAATCAGGATTCTGCTTTAGATTACATAATCTAACGGAAATGGAAATAGCAGTAAATTTAAATTAACAAAAGTACAGGACTCTCAATATAAATACTAAGTATAAAACTTAAAGGGCGAATGAGAGTCAGAATATAAAAACGAATTTCTTAAAATATCATAACGAATATATTATTACGTAGATCTTAAAAATTATTGTAATAAAATTAAGAAGATTATATAAATTAAGTAATCCTTACGTGTAATTACATAGTTAAAAAAGCATATGCTGACAATACATGTTTCGGCTGCAGAGTTGAGCCTTCCTCAGTTATAGAAATTTCCATTAAACGCATTGAGTACGCAGTGATTAGAAATGTTCCACAATGCACATATCTACCAAGTTATCTACCAAGTCGAACAAACATTGCTCACAAAACAGTTGCTCGGCCGTGTAGAGGAAACATTCTTAATTTTGTTATTGCAATAATTTTTAAGATCTACGTAATAATATATTCGTTATGATATTTTAAGAAATTCGTTTTTATATTCTAACTCTCATTCGCCCTTCAAACTTTATACTTAGCAATAAACTTATCCATAACCTCGCAATAACGTGAATTTCAACCGGTTGAAACTCGCCTTATGGATAAGTTTTCTGCTATATCTATTTTCGTTAAGCCTATTCTACAATTACGTAAGCGTAGTTGTAAGTGATTGTAGTTGTAAGAATTGACCAATCACAGTTGAATATTCTTCTCATATTCGACAGTGATTGATCAATTCTTACAACTACAATTATTTACAACTACACTTACGCAATTGTAGAATAGGCTTTAGAGCACGTAGATCTAAAACAACATCCTGATTGGCTCATCGGCTTAAGTTCACATCTTAAGGTTACTATTACAGAAATTTTGTCTGCGGCAGCCCTTTAGGCTCCTGAGTAGTCACTTCAGACATATTGAATCGTGACGTCATAAACGAGAAATGACACGTTGATTTTTCTTGCATACCATTTGTAACTAAAGAGAATTTGGATGAAATGAAATGATGAGATGGCTTTAAAACATTTGTAAAAATGGATGAAAACTCTTCTTATC